GAAGAGTCGTTAAAATTAAAATAACAAAATGCGTCAAGCAAACAAAAACTTATCAACAATATAACACAAAGACAAGCCTTAACACCGAAAATATAACCGAAGGCAAAGCGGCAGCCATCATTAAACTCCGAGATGCTATAAAAATTCAAATAAAAAATTTAAATTATTGATTAAGATCGACGAAACAAAATATTAAAACAACACAATATAGGTAGCCACATAAAGCGAGACGGATAAAAAACTGGAACAAAGAGAAGAGTCAAAATAAGACCAAGTGGGAAATGTACGGTGGCTTTTGGGGGGGGAAACCTATGCCATTTTTAAAATACTCTATCATATTATATTTTTCTAAAATATTTTTATTAACTAAATAAATATTAATAAAAAGTAAATAAAATTTAACAGATGATCTCAACTGTTTTTTACATTTTTAAAATGGATATTCTTCTGTAAGCCAATGGATTTCATTAGGTAGCGTATTCCATCTCGCTGAGGGAGTGACAATATTAATTTATTTAATTTATTTTAATTGCCTTCGGTGGCTCTCAGATAAAAGCCGCCAATCGAAGGAGTGGGAGATGAGACTGCGATGGCATTCATAAAGTCATGGAAAATTCTCCGTCAGCTGGGATCAGCTTGGGCTCATTTGATTGAGCGATACTTTACGAGGACGGGTTGGCATTGTTCAATCGCAGTTGGATGGCCGGAAAGCTATTAAAAGCGATCCCATTGATGTGTGCGTTAGGGATTTTGTTTTGGGGCTTTGCGTCTTTTGATTCGCTTCGAGGGGATTAGAGGCGGTGGAGATGCGTCACACGAGTCGTATGAGTGATTTTTCGGGAATCCAAAAATGAGTAGCGGGGGCTTCTACGAATCGCGGGGCATTAGTCATTGAACCAAAAGCTGGCTCATTGTTTTCCCGATCTCTACTGATTCCCAACCAGGTTAGTCTGCCCACCAGTTGGCTCCACGGGCAGCCCACTTAGTGCAGACTACATTTGCATATGAGTTCATTTAGCTGTTTTAAGAACTAGCCTCCGAACGAAACCCAGCAACCCAGCAACCTCCTTCTGTTTAAGCCGGGAAACGTGTGCTAATTTACATGAGAAGAAAGATCGCATCGCTCCACATCCTCATCGACATCTCTGTTGCACCCAAAAACCCAAAAAAAAGAATAGAGGTATATAAATAGAGGAGGCAGCTCTGGAAATTAAATCAAAAGCGCGATACGCCAACGTGGCCCACGGAGGCCAACCAAACGGCCCACTCCACTCCACACACAGATGATGATGATGATGGAGATCCCAGATCCCCGATCCCAGTTCCCAGTTCCCTCCTCCTTTGGACTTGGAGGCTCCCTCTTGGCGATGGCACAAGTGCAGATTGCCAGCATTAGATGAAATATTTATATTGTCTATATGAATTGAGCCTACGTCGCCGGTTAGCCCGGCAGTCAGGCAAAAGTTCATTTCTCGCAGCAGGATGCCAATGTCTTTCGATGGTCCTCAAGCATGCAGGAAAAATGCCCTCTCGAGAACGAAATTCTCTTTAAAATGTGCTAGAACTTTTCTGTTATTGAAAAAAAAGTCCTTAGTACTAAATACGAATGTTATTATAAATTAATCTATAAATTGTTTGGAATTAAATTATAAATTATTTTGAATTTATATGTTTAAGGGATAAAAAGTATTTATTCAACATATTTAGTGGTATCTACTATTATACTATTTCAATACTATAATATTTCAATTGATTAAAAATCACAAATATTTTGCATTATTTTTTCATTATTAATAAATAAATAATAAATAATAAATATTTAATTAAATAAACAATTCAAGAACATTTTTTTTAAGAACTCTATTTCATTCGATTAATTTCTCCCAATAACAAAATCAAAGGAGGGCAGATACCCTGTAGCATGGATGTGGGGTATGAAAATATCAGGTAGCGGTAGCGCACACAAGTGTCCAGGCGAACGAGACGCGGAGATATGGCGACCATTTCAGCAGTCACGTTTTATTTAAATATATGCGCGTGCGGGCAGCTGCTCCTCTTTTTTTTTAGTTTTTCGTAGTTTTTCAGCCCAGGGTTTTGGGGCTTTTAGGCGGGGCGATAGCGAGTGCCGATGAGTTGTCTCTTGTCCATCCTGTTGGCTACTGGATTTTTTCAAAACAATTTTCCAATATGAAAAAGTGGCTCAAATGCGGTTCGTAGACCTTTTCCAACGCCCTCGAGGGAAAAACTGGAATTGACAATTCCCTTGGAATGGAAAACACTCAGTCGATAATCGCTGGTTGGGGGCGACAAGTGTGTGTGTGCTGAGAAAATTATGACTCAGGATCTTTAATTGCAATTCCAATTGCAATTGCATATCGTGTACAGAAATTTGAAATTTCAATTACCCGAAGATCACGCGCAATCAGCAGCACTTCGCAGTGCAGTTGCTGCTGTCTAGGTCGTTTTTCTGGGATGATTAACCATTTTGGAGGCGACGAAGCTGCTCTTCCTGGTGCATCGCATCGCGTGATGCTGCTGCTGAACTCCTGCTCTTGGCCACTTTATTCCAGCCACTCAACAGCTGCCAAAAACCAAATTGCAATTGTTTCGCTTCCAAGTTTCATAGGGATTGCTGGGTAGCTATGCATTTTGCAAAAGGTTTACTCACTTATGTAAAAAATATATTTTTAGATATATAATATTTATACAAAAAACATTTAAAAAGTTTATAAAGGGATATTTCAGGTTAAGGGTTACATATATTTTAAACCCCATTAATCGTAGTGCATTGCGGATTCGTTTTTGCCCTGCATAAATTTGCCTACCTTTTCGAGGTATAGTTTATTTGCCAAGCCGCTTCTTGACACAGTAGTTAGCCGGGCATAATAATAATGGGGCCTGGAAGAGGGCTAAAAACAGGTAGCTGAGGTCTGAGCCTGCGATCTCCGCCACTCGGCAACTGCAGTCTCCCATTACATTTATTATTTATTAATAGCGTAATTTATTGTTTCATGGCATTCATGTGAACTTCATGAGCCACTGCACCACCTCGGTAGCCACCGATCGCCACCGTTCGCCACCTACCACCTCCCACTCCCGATTCCACTCCCACCACATCTTCTTATTGAATTAAACGACGACAGGCACGCTGGCCGGCTAGCCAGAAAGCCGGCGAACCAACGAACCACCAACCAATCGATTGCCAAACGGGGCATTAGGTCGTCGCCAATTGTTAGACGAAAAATTGGCGCTACTTTGGCGCGACGCTGCCTTCATCTAAGTCTACACTAAGATAAATTTAAGAAACATTGTTTTAATGAGAACAAAAGGAATACAATGTAAAAATAAATAAAAAAATGTCGCCTATATGTTAAAATCATTGACAAGCTTCTTAAGTTTAAGAAATACATATTTTAGTGTTGAAAATTCTAAATGAAAATATTAACAGATATTTTTGAAAAATATGTGCTGTTAAAATATCACTAATAAACTTGAACAATATTTTGGAATTTACGATGAAAACGCATTTGCACATTTTTTAATTATGTGTAGTATATTTTATTTGTATATCCTATTAAAGACAATATACTAAGTTAAATAATAATTTTAAAAATAATTTTCTATTCTCGGATTATTTTAAATGTATTCAGCAAACAACATATTTTTTATTATTTCTATTTATAATTTTCTACTATTTTGTTATTCAATTCTTTGCTTTTCAGCGCGATTTCCTTTCGAGTGTAATCTTACTTCCTGTAAGTTCCTCCGCCACCGCTCTTAAATTGCAGCAAAGATTCTTAAAGTTAATGGCCCTTCATAAATTTTGTTATGAAATATGTGCGCATTGGTTTAATATGCCGAGCCGGCAGAAGAGAGCCAACCAACGCCAACTAACCAACTAACCAAGTGGAACGCCAGTCGAAGTTGCGGTGATGATGGTGTTCGGTTTTCCCTGGAGAAAAGTTCTCAGCACACCGAAGTGCCGGGGCATTTTCCCCATGCCGGGCAGGGAAAACCACTGGCAAGTGGCATGACAATAAAAATTTACGATTGCTTTTATGGATTTACGAGGTTTTTGTACTTGAGCTTCTGCCATTCGCCGCCCGTTGCTTTTTGCACGCGCTATAATTTGACGCTAATGAGTGTCAAAGTTGATAGTTTGATTTTGGCAAATGGCATAATTGGTCATGGCCAGCCGGAGGGCCCAGTAAGCGGTAAGCTTTCTTCTGGAAAATGCTAAAGTTCCGCCCACTCGGCGAAAGAATGCCGAATGGCTCTTGAAGACAATGCCAATTAATCACAGAATGGCGGCAGTAAAACCATTGATTTAATGCATTCTAAATTGGAAGTAAAAATAATTAGAAAATACTTCTGCTAGTTTATATGATCACGATTTTTTGTAGATATTTATGAAGCATTATCCTTTATTTAATGCGGAATTCACTATTTTATTCTATTCTGAATATAAAAACATTTTTTAATTTAAAAACTATAAATATCAGATTAGCCTTAAGCACCCATTACGGAACAAAGTCATTTTGTAACTCACTTCTTCAGTGGGGCTCACATTACCCCTTGTCAATGAAGATAATGTCCAGTTGATCTCCTGAAATTCATTACCCCCGATTTGTTATCGTCATCTGGGCACGACACTTGCCCACATTCTATCTCCAATTAACCGAATTGTGGACCGCACTTTCCACCCAATCAAGAGCCTTGCGGATTCGGATTGGGAATCGGAATCGGACAGATCGCAATAAGCAGCTGCTGCCTATATCATCCGCAGTCGCAGTCGCTTTCACTCCTCGCAAAGCCAAAGCTCGAAATCAATTTTATGACTTGGCCGAAAAGTGTTCTCCCCTGCTGAACTCTGGCCCGGCATAAAGCAAATTTTCACGCAAACCCCAAGAGCCATAAACCCCAAGTCGAAAACCAAAAACCGACAGGGAAAAAAATAAAAATAAAGGAAAAAGCAAAACCCATCCACCGACTGCATAATTTCACCGACTGCCGCTGGAATTGGCCGAGTGCCTGCCCATTGTCGACGCAACTTTCATTGAATTAAACCCTAAAAATATGAAGCTTATCACAAATCAAGAAGCATTGGAACTTCATCACCTACTTTGAATGCCGGCTACCGCAGACGCGGATCGCCAGTCCGATTTGGAGTCCCCTGACTTTGGAGATTCAGAGATTCAGGGCTTCGGGACTTCGGGTTTGACCCACTTACACACGGGCAGACTGAAAATGCAATATACGAAAATATGTGCCGGGAAGAAGCCGCCAAAAACAATTTACCAATTTATGTTGAACTGCGCCGAGGCGATCTGATCCAATACCTTTTTGTATGGTATCGTATCGTTTCGTTTCTCCAACTTCGAGGGCTCTTTGGTCTTCAGAAGAAGCTTACACACTCGTTGACTCCGGACTCCCCGACTGGCAAATCACTAAATTTATATGTTTTCTGATTCAAAATATTTATTGCCAAACCGCGTACAAATCCAAGAGGAGTTGCCCCAAAAAGGGCACCAAAGTGTTTGGTTTTGCCTGGGTTGGCCTGTGTTTTCGTCGGTTCCTCGATTCCTCCGTTCAGGAAAGGAAGTCCCGAAGACGCTGCTGCGCTCAAATTGCCTGAAAAATGGGAGGAGGACATTAAAATTCACCAAATGTATTTATTACGGCACCAAAACCACCGCAGCAAGCCAGAAAGTGATGCCCACATAAAGGACGGCGGTCTGACTAAGTACACTGGTCAAAATATATGAGATTAAAAAGATATAATTAACTAAAGAGAATTTATATTTGTTAGGAAATTATTTCATTTAGATTTTGGTATTGATATAAACGACCCATATATTATTGTTTATATTTTAAATTATTTTTTTAATTTTTAGTAAAAAATGTTTTCTTTAGAAACATGAAAAATAATATAATATTATAATGTCAAGATATTTATTAAAATTTCTTAAGCTGTCATTATTTCTGAAATTAAAGGCCTGTGTAATTTTGTAACTAACTTTATTAACTTAATATTTACCTTTTTTCCAGTGTACTGTTCGCTTTGGGCTCTCTGAATCTTACACTTGGCTTGGCGGCATGTTTGCAGATTGATTTGATGCGCCTTCGAGGGACCCGAGACACTTGCCAGACCGGCCAGGAAAAAAGGAAAGAAAATGCTGAAATCAATTGCAGGTATACCTGTATGTATTTATGTGTGTTTGCGGAGAAGCATTTAGTGAGCAATCAAAGGAGTCGGGGGAACAGGCCATATCCACACCATGGCTAGTGGATAGTAGTGCTAGTCCTGGACTTCCCATAGGCAGCAAAAATTTATTTGCACTGCCCCTGCAGCTGAATTATTTTATTTAAACCGACGAATTCAATTAGAGACAGTGACTTGGTTTTTGCGCCTCCAGTTCGATGGATGGGGATCAAGAGGCTGGGGGGGATTCATTGAATTTGCGTTGGCGCTGAGGGCGAGTCCTATAAAAAAAAGGTTCGGGTGCGGCATCAACTTCTCCACACGCAACTTTCTACAGGAAAAGAAATCATTTTAGTCTTGGCTTTAGCAGAAAATATTTATTTATAAAAATTTATATATTTTATATATTTACAAAACAAGTTGTCTAAAAAAGTTAAAATTTTAATCCGGCATATATATTATTAAAATCAAATAAAGGCTAAAAACTTTCGACTGTGTACAGGAAAAACCACTCCTTCTTTCGAGACAAGTGGAACAGGATGATGACGCCTGACTTTTTGTTTTGTTAGTTCCTTTAATTTGATTTAATTATATGCGCAAGTGATTGCTCTTCGCTCCCCTCAAAATTTATCTGGGGGCGTGGAGCATTTCTTTTGGCTGTGCCCAGTTTTTTTCCCCCATTTTTTTTGTGGGGCTGACACAATATTTCCACCTCCCGAAAATGTGACGTATTTTGGGTTCGGTGCTCGCCTGAAAAATCACCGTTTTCGACTCTCATTGTGTGTGATGATCGTTTTGCTATTGTTGAGACTCTGTGATCTTCAGGAGTGGCTTGTTAAATTTCACTTGCATGTCGGGGCAGGCTTATCCCCACCTCCCATTTTCCCTCTACCAAATCAAGGTGTTGGGCGTCGATTTATGCGCTTTTCACTTGTCCCGCGCGTTGGCGAGATTTCTGGCTCAGGAGGTGGAGCTCTAAGTTGAGGAAAAAGTTCAAAAACTGGCGAGAGAAAGATAGAAATCGTTTAAGAAAAATGCTGGGAAATATACGGGATCAGAAGTTTGATTTAGCGTTTGGTTTAGAATAAATATGGGGCAATTCAGTAGCCTGGGAAAATATATTATTCATATGAACCATTGAAATGCCTGAAGCATTTATTTAAATATTTTTAAATACCCGTAATTTAAAGAAATAAATTAAATCCTAATGGAAAAAAACCTGATATATTATTGTCAGTCTAGACAAATGACCCAAGCTATTTGTCAGCAATTGAACACATCAAGCTGGGTGCAGTGAAAACTATGCCAATTAGATCTTATCGCCGGACATTTCCCAACCAGAAAGGCAACAAGCTCTTTTGACATTTCGCTGCCGTGGTGGAAGATCAACACGATTCCCAAAACAGCAGCCCGGAATGATTTATCACCGGCTCAGAGCAATCAACATACAAAACCATAACAGATCATGCACCAGCCGAGGAAAGAAACAAATACACAAATACCAGAAAAGGCCACTCTTAACCACATAACCCTGTTTGTCTGTGTTTGAAACCAAATCTGAGAGCAGAAAACCAAAAAAAAATAAAATAAAAAGACCAATCGCACAAACGACGACGACAGGTGATTAATTGTTTCAAACGCGTAGACGTTACTTAACGCTCCGTCAGTCGGCGAGTTTCGGGCTACAGGTTCAACCTCAAACTCAGACTGAAACTCCAGCTCGTAATGTCAAAATCTCCTCCGATTGTGAGCTACCCATATATGGGGTCTATAGATACAGTGTGTGTGTGTGTACTTTTTTGCGGCCAAGTGTCGAGGCGAGTGCGAGAACAAAACAAGTTGCATGTCTCAATGAATGAATAGCCGAATAGTTTGAATCACCCAAGCACCTGAAATTCGAAACAAAACAAAAAGCCAAATGCTCGTAACTCGTGAGCAATGACAGCGGTTGAAGTAATGTTTCTGACAGTCCTAGAGAGGAGTTCGTGCAGATAGGATTGATTACTTTAAAAGGGTAGTTAGAAATATCTATTAAAAAATACAAACAATTAAGAAAAAATCATTTAAGAAAATGCAGTGAAATAAATTCTAAGAGTTTTTCTCACTTCTGTAATGAAAATTAATGATCCAGTATCTTGGGACCTTTGGAATCTTAAATATTAAAAAAAAAAAATAGAAATGTTTAAAAGAGAAATTACATAAAGGATTTGTATTAAAAATAATAAGTTTAAAACATTTATTATTATCATCGCTTATGGTAGTTTTTAGATCGCTTAGAAATTTCTAAAAAATCTCTAAGATCCCGTGGGATATTCCTTATATCACGCATCCATCTCTAGCCCTTCTGGGCCGCACTTTGGCGTGCGTCGTGGCTCACCCAAAAAGCCAAGATATATATGTATATATATCTACGAACTTGAGCTTTGCGCTGGTGTCTGGTGTCTGATGTCTGGCCATATGATCCACTGATTGCTTGATTATTATTTTGATTAATTAGCCAAGATTTGGCTAGTTCAAACTGCACGGCCCACGCCCGGAGCTAAAAATCTATCCATTGTGCGGTGACTGCCTCTCAGGTTGATACTTACATCCAAAGACCTGAGACCTGAAACCTGGGTATTCTATGATTGATTGAAGTTTTCTTTGATAACAGCTTACAATTGAGAAATTATTTACATGAGCTATAATTAAACTTGTTTGTTGTTGCCTGTCATTTGGATTTGGATGTGGATTGGTATTGGAAGGGGGACTAAGCTCTGAAGTCTGGTTTATTGAACCGCAATTGAACCACATCGACGGATTGTGCGGATTGTGTGGGTCTGTGGCCGCTGGCAAGTGATGTTACCTCTATAAATAATCAGGAAATTGCTTTAGGGCCTGCCAGATGCTGTGAGTTGATTAGCCCGGCCATATAGTGTGTTTAGCGAGTGAGTTTGCAAATCGATGAACGCAAATTGGAAATGAGGAAAGCAACGCTCTGCGCTCCATGAAGATGGGTTGGGCTCAAAATCAGCCTATATATCGATCGACAAATTCCATTACAACAATCCCCTTTAATTTGGCAACACTTTCGGCCGGAATTGTGTCAACGCGATGCGCGACTCATCCTCTAACTCGGCACCCAGTCACGATCCATTAGAAAGCTGGCCAAATACTATATAATCTTAATGCGGGCAACCTGAAGAAACGAATACAAAGTACAAAAAAAACAGAAAAATCGACGGATGCGTGTCTCTGCCACTGATTTAATTCGGAAAGCGAATGAGACACGACTCTGGCCGAGCATTTGTCCAGCTTTAAGACCTGATAGCCAAAGTTAAAGTTAAAGTTAAAGCTGAAGCCACAGCCAAAGGCTCTTCACTTGCCAGCCGAGGGGAACATGCAAAGTGACAGCGGCGACGACGGAGACAATTCCATATTTGGCCAAATTCAAATGCCATTAACACGTACGCCATTTGTCGGACTCTCAGAAGAGGATGAGAGTGCGAGGGGTGGGGTTGCACTCGGGGAAAAGCATCCTTAACTTAAACTTTTGTCACAAAATGCATTTAAAAAATTTAAAACATGAGTAATAATATCAATATTCCACAAGGATAATTATTATTAAATTCTTAACAACTAACAAAAAATTGTTTGAAAATGCCTACCAAAGTTAAAAGAGATTATATTTCACTACATATTTCTTTTAATTATATCATTTACCAAGTAGATTCTTATATAAAGGAATTATATTTTAGTACCTACATTTTTCTTAAAGTTTTATTTTTATATATTTTAATATTTTTCAAATGCATTTACCAACTAAATTCTTTGATAAAAGTATCATATTTCAATTCATATTTCTTGTAAATATATTTAAATTTAAATAAAATTTCCCAAGTGCATTTAGCAACCTGGGGTTCATTTGTCCACCGTTTCCGCGTTGCCTTCGTGTCGAAAGCCGGCCAGCACGCATTTCCCCTCACTGCCAAAAAGCGTTCGACATTTAACACTTGTAAATTTCTTTCGCCGGCCGACTTGAACTTTTCTGGCGGCGTTTCGTGTTTGGAGTTCCGAAGCTGCGAGTCCTCCTGGCTTCGATTGGGGGATTGCATGGTAACCTGTCGTGATTCTTATTTTAATTTGCTTTGACTTGTGCGCCTTTTTCGGGATTCGGGAGGTTTCTCGCATCGCCATTTGCCTTAGCTTGACTTTCCTCGCCGACAGTTATTAGGCCTAAATGCAGAAGCAGAAGCGATGCGGCGATGTTCGGCTCATTAGCAGCGGGCCAAAAAGGTTTCTGCATTGGCAATTATCGTGAACCGTTTTCTGACGAACTTGGCCAAAAGGCCAACAAAAAAAAAACAGTTAGGAACGTCTTTATGGATTATTCTATGGGAATTACTGTAAAGTTGTGGAAAAATTATATTATAAATATTTCATTCATAATTTTTAAATTTAATAGAAAAGAAAAAGATTGGATATATTATGACTCTATTAGTCCCTGAAGAAAATCTTTAGATAATATTTCAATAAAAAGTATTAAGTATAAACCGTTACTATTTCAAAGCGAAACAATGACTAAAGCTTGTCCCGCCCAAAAGTCAAGCCGAGAACATCTATCTGGGCTATAACTTAGCGCAAAGTTGGCCAAATCCGAGACATAAATTTCCAAACTTATCTATGCCGGCGGATCGTGAGCTTGTTGCCTGGTTTTTGGTTTTTGGTTTTTGGGGGCTAGCACTCCGTAGTTCGTAGTTTGCAGTTCGCGGCTCGGAGCTGACTACATCTGACAAGTGTTAATTGAATTCATGTCGCTGGTAATCATAATAATAATAACAATATCATGTTGTGCTCTCGGATCGGATCCCTCTCGACTCTTGGCTCTCGACTATGGAGCTCTCGAGCGCCCCGAGACATGCGCTTGCCGAGCTTTTGATGTCGGCTCTCGATGTCTTTCCATCCATTCCGTCCATTCTGTCTGCCCGGCATCGTTATAAATTACTCAATTAATGTCAGCGTTTATGTCAGAGCTGCGCCATATAGTCGAGCCGAACTGAAACGATCCGATCCTGGCTTAAAGCCTGGTGTCTGGGGTCCCCGGACCAGAAGATAGGCACATGCAGATAGTACACATAGATATGACATGATAATGGGGCATGTTTAGTGGCTGTCGTCGGTTTAATTAAAAACGGCTTTATGCATAAAACAAAAAGGCACCCAGGCTGGCTGACAAGTTGCGCAACTTGACACTTTGCCGGAGTTGCTGGAACTTGGAAGACTGCTCGGGCTGTTCCCGAGCCCTTTGCGGCAAGTTCGTTGCCTAAGTCTTTTGTTTTGCTCCTCGCCACTCGACACAAAAAACGTGCAAAATATGATTTTTTCGCTCGGTTTTTACTCGCTTTTTTCCCTTCCATCTTAATTTTTTGTCTGGTGGCTTTGGTTCGTAACTACCGCTGCTGAAAGCAAAATGTCAATTTTGTGACTGGATGGCTTTTGTCTCTTTTGACGCCCTCTCAATGGCGACGACGGCGGCGGGTCGAACACCCACGCCCTCGCCTCCTCCTCGAATTTAGTGTACATGATATACGTCCTAAAATACCCTTTTCAAAAAATATTTATAACCAATTATTATCAGAATTTAAGTTTAAAAAATTCTGTTAAAATTATAACATTGTTAAAATTACTTTTTTATATGTAATATGTTTTTAAATGATAAAAATGTAATTAAGTTGAACATATATTTTTTAGTAATATATTTTTCGATATATATTTAAAAATATTTTTAAAATAATAATTTTTGTTTATCTTCAAAATTTATTTCATTTAAGGAAGCCTTTTCCAATAGAGCATTTGCACTTCATATGTCCAACACTCAAGTGCCGCACAGATACTGGAAACTAATACGCGGCACGGGCATAATTAAATATTTTGCCTATCGCCTTTTGTGTGTTGTAATAAGATAAATCCGATTTGAGCTGTCTGCGGCAAGTGAGCAAAACAACAGGTTGCTCTGCAGCAAATCGAATTCGAATGTGCGGGTTGAACGCCCAATGGAGAACTAAAAGCGAGGCGCTAAAAGAACAATGTGTCATAGCTATATTCGTGGTATTTAAAAGAACTCGGCTTCGGTATCTGTATCTGTTTTTTTCTGCATATATATATCTTTTTCGAGCACTTAGCGCGCGCTGACAAGTTGAAGCTTTTGCCTCATGGGGTTTCGGGGGTTTTGAGTCTTTTGATATGCGCTGTCTGTCGCCTGTTGACGGATTTCAGCTTTTTTGTCCGGCTTTTGGCTTTTGGCCCGGTGTGGGTGGCCCACACACATATGGCCAAGAGCGAAACCAGAGCTCGGTGCAATTGTTTAGCCCCTGGCGCCTCAGTGCCATATAGACCGATTCGAACCGGAGTCCACATTAAGTTTTCAAATTGCTTTTTTCTCGCTGCGGCGGTTAGATTAAGCTTATTTCCGTATTGAAGTTTCAGCTTTGCTTCGCTTTTGCGGTTTTGAATTAATTAGCCGCCGCGAAAACAAAGTCCCGGCCAGTTCTTTAGCATATTACGAGTGCAAAAGCCAATCTTTATGGTTCTCTGTATCTTTTTGTTGTGCGGTTGAAGCCACAACGCCAACGCACTCGGAGTTGAATTTGAATTTCATATCTCCAACCGAATCCGAAATCCCAGCGAGACAATGGTAATTATTAATAATGCAAATAATTATATCGATTCCATTTCAGGGGCGTTGTCTGCATGTGATTTGCTCAAAAGGTTCTCATTTTCATGTTTTGTGTCGAATTCGTTCCTCGGTTCGCTTTGATCGGCTGGCTTGGAAGTGTGGGAAAAAAGTTCTCATTTGGCTTTTGCCACTTGATGCTTTTTTTCTGTGTTCTGTTCGCTTTGGTTTTTTGTTATGGCTAATTTGCCTGCGCTGCATTTGAGGTTTCCTTTTGATTAATTTGACGTCGACGAGTGCACGGCATCGGATTTATGACGTGGCCAAGACGTATTTTCGGCCAGTTCCGCCGAAGCCAAAGTGCTGAAGTGTTGTGTGTGTGGCATGAGTTATGGACAGTCTGGATTGTCTTGCTCATGGCTAATCATAGCTGTCAGCTCGCCCCTCCTCCACATGTGCAGTATTTGGTTGGGAGCGATATGGAACCCGGCAAGAACTGGGGTCCTAAGATGGCCAAATACTGATAGGAGTGCCTAGAATGTTTTATATCTATATAAACTACGCATTACTTTTATAAAATAGATTAATTTAAATAAAGGATGATTTATTTTAATTTTTATTTGCGTATAAATGCATCTGTATTTTTTTTATTTTTCTGGCTCCTATAAAATTGATTTTAACATACAAACATATAAAATATATGATTATACCCGTTACTCGTAGAGTAAAAGGGTATATTAGATTCGTGCAAAAGTTTGTAACAGGTAGAAGGAAGCGTTTCCGACCCTATAAACTATATATATTTTTGATCAGGATCACTAGCCGAGTCGATCTAGCCATGTCCGTCTGTCCGTCTGTCCGTCTGTATGAACGCTGAGATCTCGGAAACTACAAATGCTCGAAGGTTGCGATTTTCCACGCATATTCTTGGGCTTCCTACGCAGCGCAAGTTTATTTCAGCCGAGTGCCACGCCCCCTCTAACGCCCACAATCACACACTAACGATTTTAAAATGTGTCTGGCGCCCACACCTTTAAAGATTTCCGAGAAGTATAAATGCAATTTTGTTGTGCTTATTTATACCTATCGAAATGTAGAAGACATTTTTCAAATCGGACCATTCATTAAAAAGTTATACGCAATTAAAATTTCTATATCTATCTCCCTCGCACTCCCTTTAGCTGAGTTACGATTATTAGTCGGGACACCAACCCGAGTACAGAGTGACGGGTATTAGATAGTCGGAACACGAACCCGACTATAGCGTTCTCTCTTGTTTTTATTATTAAATTTGTTTTTTAATTAAATTGCGCTTAAAAATTCAAAAATAAGTTTTTTGTTAATATTAGCTTTTATTAAATAGTATAAATGATCAAAATGTCTTATATATTTACTTTATCTCCTATTTTACTAAAATAAAATATTCATTAAACTACTTTCAAGCCCGCAAACAATTCTATTATTTTCAATCTCCAATCCACATTGCCCAATATGGCTAATCTAAGCGAGAGCGCCTAAATCGATTGCCAAAAGTCAGGCACGAGTGACTTGGGCTAAACGTTTTGTGTGTTGGCAGCATTTCAAAAACATTGGCGATTAGATCTTAATTCAGAAAATGGCGTTTACTCAACACACGATCAGCGTTCGAAGCTGGGAACAATCATAATTAAATATTAATTTACACTCGGCGCGTTAAGCAAACAACACGTACACAGCTTAGTGGCCATAACAACAACAATTCTATTACCTACATATAGCCGACAAAAACAATGCACATTGTCCATATATCGATATACGTACAGCTGCGGCGGCGCCTGGCAATATTCCATAATTTGTTTCATGTGCCGATTGAAATTATTAAATATTAATGGCCAACGAGTCGGGAAAAACGTGTCTTGAATATCTGAATTTAAATAATAATAATTTTGATCGGAAAAATGCATTTAAAAATGCATTTTGAGCTGAACTTGAGGCGATCGAAGATTAATTAAACTGCCATGGCTAAGGAAGCCGGGCCCAAAATTAGAAAAAGAACAGGGCGTGTGCTGTGTTGGCCAACTAAAAACCTGGCTTGAACCACCGACTGCCAATTAAGCCAACTCTGCACGTAGCCGCAATAAACGAAACTCGAGCAAAGTGAAAAACACATTTTTCGGTTGTTTTTCGGTCTTTGATTTTTATATATTTTTTCCTCTTTTATTTTGTATTTCGGCGGCCCATAAATTAGCGCTCTAAACGATTGCCTGGCACTTGTCACCAGGCCCCCGTCTAATTTAACCTTTGACCAAATGCCGCTACCTCAGAGCCGCATGCGTTCCAAAAGGGGCGTGGCACTGGGGGCCGCCGCCAAAACGGCAGCACGCGCACTCAAAATCAAAGTAAAAAGTAGGCATGGGCATAGGAAAAAATCAGACTGTCCCCTGTTCGTTCTGGCGAGTGCTGTCTGGCAAATGCAATATGACTTTCAAGTGGCAGCTCTATGGCGTGGTTTCCTAATAGACCGAAAAGCTACCGCTCGACGATGTCGGAAGTATGTGGTTGAAAGCCGAATCATGAGATGCTCTTTGGGAATATTAAAACTTTGTAAAATTAAATATCTAACATTTTTTAAAATCTTAGTAAGTGCTAAATTTAGTTCATATATGAAGATTTTATTATTTATTGTAAAATTAATTGCGTTACTATAAACAACTTAATATGATTTTTTGTTCGTATTCTTTTGCTGTAACTTGGCTAAAAAGTATCCCAATTCTATTTCTAAAACGAACTGTATTTTGTGCAGCTAATAACCCAATATATCGGTTGCTAACACTTTTTGGTTAATTAAAGAAAATAATATTTTGACCCATTTTCACATTTTTGATAAGGGGTCACATAAAAAAGTCTAGGCTTTAATGCCAATCGATTGGATATTTAATTACAAGTTCAACGAAGTATTACATTCCATATTTAGACAATTGTTGGCTTTATTTTGGTCAAGACAGTTCGACAGAATTTCATAGATCTCAAGCTGTTATCTATAACTTTAAATTACATTTGATAAAGACTACATTTCAAAGAAGATATTTATTTTATTAAGCTTTCCTAAAAAGTCTTCTTAAAATATTTTTGAAAGATATAAGGCACCTACTCTCCCCAGAATTTCTTAGTTCCCAAGATCTCGTAAGGGTAAACAACTTATGAACAAAAAGTAAACTGGAAGTTGTAGAGCGTTAGAAACTGCGTGGACGGCATTTATAATAATGCGAGTGAGTTGAGCGGGTCGCCGGATAATCCAGATGGTGATGCAGGGTGGGTGGGGCTCTTTTTGCTTTATAAAGTAAGGTGCGGCTGCGCTGCAGAGCGGAAAAGCGGCAACTGGAAAACGCGTTTAATTGAGCCTGCCTGCCTGCTTGCAACCTGGCTGCCCACTAGCGCCATCTAGCTGCGTGCGGCTGCACCAAGAGCCGGCTTTTGTGCACTTTTTTCTTATTTCGAGTTGAAAAAAACCGAAAACGAAAACAAAAATCGATGATTCATCGCTTGGTCTGTTGTTTTGAGTGGATTTCGCCAACTGCAACACAGGCCCACAAAAATACTAGACTGTTGGCGCTTGCCGCCTGCTGCTGTTGTTGATGTTGCTAGTTGCTCGTTGTTGTGTTGCTGGTTGCCGGTGACGCAGTCGCAGTTGCAGTTGCAATTGCAGCTGCGCCAATTCTCCTCCGGTTTGCCGTTTGCATTTCGGCGCTTTACGTTCAAAACAATTATTATTCTGGCAATTAATTTTGATTTAAGCACCGATTTTCAATACATTTCTATACATATAAATGGCTTCATATATATAGACGGTTTTCCTCATATTTTCGTTGTGGTTGCTGTTGTTTTTGAAACCCCCCATTGGGTCTCATTGACGGTTGAATGTCTCGATTTCTGTGGATTTTTATTTCGAGTGCAGCGATAAATAAGCGACACCTACAAAGCTTTTCTGAGATTGCATCTTTTGCTTTTGCGATGCGATTTTATTATTTATTATTTATTATTATTTATTTATTATTTTTAGAGATATCGCAAATATGATATGGTATGAAAAATAATATTATTTTTTGTTGGTTTTTGTGGTTTTTTTTATTCATTAAAAAAATTAAAATTAAATACATGCGCGTAAATGGCTACCTTCACCATATTTACAAAGCTTAAATCATAAGAACTAAATTAAAATAAATTATAAGATTAAATTATAAGTGTGTATGTGGTATACATGGTATATAGGGGGGTTTATTCTCTGGCACCTTTTTTGATTTGTACACTATGAGTTTTAACAACGATTTATAATACAAGGAATTGTCAACGAAAACAATCTAGGACTAAGCTCTCTCTATTTGAATAATTTAGCGATAACTAGAGATAAATAAATATTTTTGTGATAAACTAGAGACCCTAAGAGGCAATAAAATTGCCCTGACTAATTTTTGGCACTGAATCTTTTCCCTGACTTTGGCTAAACTGACTTAGATTAAGGTTGTTAATTAATAGATGACTTGGTTGGCTGGTGGATTGGGCAGGGAGTAGTCGCCCACCTCCTCCTCCTCACCGTTGCTGCTGCCCACACTGCCGGCGTAGTAAACCTGGTGGGAATGGGGATGGGGATTGAGGTTCTCCTCGTAGCCCTGCATATGCTGCTGCAACTCCTGCTGATTGAAGCCGCCCCCAGAGCCACTGGGTCCGTTTTCCCCACTCTGGCAGCCACTTTGCAGGTGTTTGGCTAGCAAACTCATCCTCGAAAAGGACTTGGTGCAGGTGGGGCAGGAGTACTTCTTCACATCCGAGTGGGTTTGCATATGGGCTCGAAGGTTTGACCTGTCTGCAAAGGCGCGATTGCAATGCTGGCAGCTGAAGGGCTTTTCCCCTGTATGAGTGCGTATGTGACCCTGCAGCAGCCAAGGTCGCGAGAAGGCCTTGCCGCAAATGGGGCACTTGCAGGGGAGAGTGTGGGTACGTATATGCATCTTTAGAGCTCCCAGGGAAACATAAGTTTTATCGCAATTCTTGCAGCTAAACACCTTCTTCACCTGATTGCCCTCGGCCGAAGGGCAGTGAAACTGCTGATGCTTGGAGAGACCCGAATAGGTGGAGTAGCTCTTTCCGCAATCCTGGCAATGATATCTCGGCACTCCCACCGGCTTTTGCATGCTCTGCGCCGATGCTGCATTAGCTGCTTGGATTAAAGCCGAAGCCTGATCTGTGCAGAACTCCGTCTGATCCACTATAGCTCCCGATCCTCCAGGCTGACTCCTGATGATCTTGTACTCGGTGCTTTCATACGCATGCGTCTGCTGATGCTTTACTAATCCAGCATAGGTGGCATAGCACTTGTTGCACTGCTGGCACTGGTAGTACAGATCATTGCTGCTCTTGATCTTCAGCTGGTTGAGGTCCTGGTTCTCCTGATCCTCCTGATGATCTATTAAGTCCTGCGGCGGTGGTGGTGCCATGTGCTGCATGCTGAGCAAAGCTCTGGCCACATTCTGCAGATTCATATTCTCACTCAGCACTCGCCGCTGAGTTAGCGAAAGATCTTCGGGTTCGGTGAGAGGAGTAGCTGGTGGTGGATAGTACATCTGGGGCGGGGGAATCGGAATCTCTTCCTTGATCGTCTGCATTTTCATACAATCCTCGTACTCGGCTATGCTCTTGAGTAGATTATTATTGTAGTTTCGCAGGGGAAAGTGCTCCTCTTCGGTGGGTTCCATTTTGATGATCGTTGGATTAGCTTCTCTGGCATAGGGAAGTGGGATCTCTGGTTCCGGTTCCGGTTCCGGTTCCATTACCTCCTCCTCGGGCGGCAATTCGAATTCTCCGTAGCCCAGGCGAGCCAGACTCTTGGCGATCTCCTCGCGGGTGAAGACGTCTGGGAAAGCACGTGCTATCTCACGGGTCTCCTCCCAAATTCGACGAGCCAACTGCTCCTTGGTCTGATTCATGGCGGCATCGAAGCGGCGTTTGATCTCAGTGGGCACCGTTTGGGGTTCCGGTTCCGGTTCCGCCTTGGCCATCCAATGGGGTTCCAAGGGCACAGCAGCCGAGGCCACACTCAAGTCGACGGGTCCTTCATCTAAAAAGATCATTATAAAGTTAGTATTTGCTGGTATTTTATCTTTTATAGCCTAAAAACCCACCATGACTCAAGTGATCCTCTGGACAGGACTCCTCCACCATTATCGGACGCTTCTTGAGCGGACAGCGGCTGTACTTTAGTTTATCCATATTTGTTTTGGCTAGTATTCCTTATGATCACTAATCACTAGTTGTATTTTATACCGATCCTTGAACTTAAATCACTGCTCACTCATTTGCTTTTTGTCACACGCGTCTCGATCGCTTGGAGTTCCCTTCTCGAATGATGCAAGCCGGCCAGGATCGGTTCGGTTTTATAGACTCCCAGGATCAACCCCCTTGGCAGGAAGATCATGATCAAGCAACCAACCCCCTGGGCAAAAAGGATCTTACCTACTTCCGATGTCCCTGGATGTCGGGATTCTGTAAATCCACCCCGAACCACGAGCCAAAAGATCCATTCAGCGATCGTAGCACAGCTGTGCGTTCATTGAACGCGGCTACAGCTGCAGATCGGCAATACGGGGGTACCCATACCTTATAGAGAGTCTGGGATGGGGGAGAGGGAAGAATCTGGCGAGGAGAGGAACAAATCAGTGTGTAAATAGCGAGCACGTGCCACAGGGCTCTCTCTCTCGCTCTCGGCGATCGCCACCAGCTGCCTCTCCGGTTTGCAGCTCGTATTTCCCCTGATTTGCGATGGTGTGAGTGAGCGGCAGCTGGTGGCGAGCTTACCTCTATATACCCACCCGATCAAGTTTATTTATAAACCTCTTTCGGTTCCGCCTCGCACGATCGCTTCGCTATATACAAACACGCTCTTTGGGCGCAGGTGAGCTTGCTCTTTGGAGCCCCGTTAAGAGAAGCTTCGTGCTGGAGACCCCACAATTCTCCATTCTCTCTCTGCTCTTCTCGTTGGGGCTCTCTTGTTCCAACTCTCAATCGTCCCACAAACTTAAGAGATCGCTTTCTGGAGTCTTCAGAGGATCTTTCAGCCATGTCGTTTGAATAAGCAGCTTATTGGCTTTTCCTATAGCGTTTAGCTAGGCTGAAGTGATCACATTTTCCGCTGACTTAACTCTACAAGTGATCGTGGAGCCAAAAGATTTTCCAGATCTTTGATTTAAGTAAATAATCCCCGAAACTTTTAAAGCCAATCATTATCAAATATCTACAAAGAGATCATCAAGATTTTCAATCTTCAATATGAAATTTCCTAGAGAGTTAAGCTTATGAGAGATCGGAATTACAAAATTCAATTCATTTTGTATTTCCATACAAATTTTTAATTGTTGGAGAGAACCTCTTTATCAAAATGTAATTAATAAAACATCTTTTCATATATGTAGATAAAATAATAAATTAATTATTAAAATTTTTCAGAACTTTTTAAGGGAATTTCTTCAAAAAATTTAAAAAATATATTCAGGATTTGTACAGCACTGTAGAGCCAATACAGCAATACAATAGGATAAGTGACAGCTTTTATTTATTTATATATTTTAAATATATATTTTTCCTTTATTGTAAAAATTCCCCCGCTGTTCCAATCGCGTAACAAAGCCAGAAACCATCAAAGAAAAGCGGCACTTAGCTTTCCAATTGATTTTTATCAGAGAGATTCTCTCCAGCGGGCAGCTGTGAAGGATCAGCACGTGACATTGGCCCCGCCATCAAATCGAGCCAAACAACAATGCAATGTACCCACTCAGACGTCCACAAAAATATTAATCACCGTGACAAACAGAGCGCAGATCTAAGGTAAATCAACCTTTCCCGGAGCATTGTTCCGGTCGTGGTCCTCCACCTCCTCCTCTAAATAGGTGCACTCGGCAGGAATAAACCCCTAACGGCCATGAAATTTCAATTCCCCGATATTAAAGAATTTCGCCATCTGGCAGAAACCAACCTCCAATCCACCCCAAAATGGGCATGTGCCCGGGCAGTTCCCTGGCTTTTTTTTCCTGTATGGTTGGCAACTGAGTGCCTTGGAATGCGCCAAAAGAGAGAGGTTCGTGCAAATCTACCTGGCGCAGTTGTCCCACCCCAAAATCCACAACCACGTCCTCATCCACAGCATCACCAGACAACCTTCGTCGGAATAATAATAAATAATATGGTGGTGGAACTGCAGTTTTGGACGTTACTTTCCGGGCCAACCCCTCGTCTTACAAAGAGCGTCTTGCAAGGAGTCTCACCCCCCTGATCCTCTATGCCCGATTCCCACATCTGCCGACTGTGACACGTACCACAAGGAACTGATTTCATGTCTTGGTCCTGATTATTTCAATACCACGGGTATTTGGCGCCAAAATCCTGTAACGAACCGGTGTGCTCAGCTGGGCGAGGATCTATTTTTGTATACGTGATCATTGTAACGTTAACAATAAGAAACGATCACTGATGGTTTATTGAAAAGTGAATTTGAATTTTAATTAACTGCAGTTGGTATTGAAAAGACATAGATGATTCTTTAATGCATAGTTAGCATCATAATGATGATGGCTTAATGAAAAATTAATTCGTAGAATGAATAGGATCGTCATTTATTAATATTATGTTATAGCATTTGGATTTAAAGAATTAAAGGAAATTAGAAATATAATTATTTCATAAAATTCTGTAATAAGAAGAAAATAATCAAATTTTTGTGTGGTTGAGCTTGAGCTTAAAGTAAAAAATCACCTTCTAATTTTTTTAACATTTTTTTTTAATTTTAACAAAATATAAACTTTGTAAATTGACTCTCTTATCTAAAAGCGATCAAATTAGAGTTCCTAATTATTCCAAATCACTTATTTTGTACATTTCTGATCAATCCCAAAAAGTTTAAATAATTTTCGAAAGAGGTATCTTTTACTTTTTTGGTAGATCTTTAATAATAGTTTAATATTTAGTTTACAAATTTAATATTTCTATGACAACTCAGTTAAGTCAAAAAAATACTTTTCAATTAAATACTGAGCTAATTTTTAAATATCCTTCGATATATATCGAAGATATATTTGATTTAAATATATTTCTAAAGACCTTTAAAAGTGTCCTTAATTATGGAAGACTTATTTTGCTTGAGAAGGGAAACTCCTTTTCTACAGGCCTCCTGCCTCGAAATGCATTCCTAATCCATCACCTTGACCCTTCTCCACAGCTCAATCATTTTCAGCTCTACAGTTTCATCTGCCGATGATCATTCGATTCCATTTTCACCTTCTTTCTGGTCAGTCCACCAAGTCTTTGGCCTGGGCAACAATGTGGTGAGGTGTCATCAAACCCTGGAGAAAAATCGAGGAAAAGCTAACTGCACATTACCTGGTAACTGCAGGTAAACCGCAAAGGCAAACTCTAACTGTCCCACACAGATTTCCACTGCTCCACAGCTGAGTGCCTCACTTCAAAGTGTCAAACGGCCGCACAGAGTCGCATAATGAAGTGCAAAATGTCATTAATTTGCCGCCGTCAAGGTGGCAAAGGCAGCGAGTATCCGAGTATCTCAGTATCTTTCAGATGCAGCTGCGCTCGGGAGCGGACAAAAGAAAGTCGGGCGTACAAGAAAATAACCCAGCAGAAATGCAGAAATCCAAAACGAATCCGATCCAGGCCGATTCGCAGCCGCCACACGCCGACTTTTGTCTCACATTGTCACGAGCTGAAGGTTTTTCAAGCCACTGAGCAGACAATGCGGGAGAGTACAGGGAAAATACAAGGAAAATGCAAGAAAAATGCGACGCAGACCGAGCTGCAATCAAAACAAGATCTTAGAACTATTGGCGCCTGATTTGGATGGGGGGAAGTCCGAGTCTCCAGGTCAGTGAGCATAAACGCCGCTTTTGAAATCCGATATTATTATCTGGCCGAAGAACACGGTAACGGTAATTAAAATCGAATAAAAGCAGACAACAGTCTGAAGCTTCCGACGCCGCATAAATTAGCGGAGGAGACTCGGGAGTTCGAGAGACTAAGAAATAGAAGCTGCGTCTATAATTCAAACTAATTTGTTTTATTGACAGCGTGTGCGCTTCGCGTTCTGTGCGCGATAAGATGGACCCTCCACGAACACACTCACAAATTGGTCAATTATGTGGGGTCTGAAACCAAAACCCCAGTCGCCGGGGGCTCTAAGGCGTGTTTCATTAGGCCAAGTGACAATAAATTAAGTTTCGACTTCATCGCCGCTAATTAAAATGCGCTCTTGAGATATTAATCTGCTGGGAAGAAACTTGGTTACTAGTCATTGTGGTCAGTGAGCACGGAAAAGAAAAGTTCATATCATAGATATTACATTATTTCATTCAACTAAGGTAATTCCTTTTAGTTATCAGATTATCAAAAAGAATTTTAAAACAAACATTTAATTTAATATTAAACCAAAATGTAATCATTGCAATTTTGAAAATAATTTAAAGCCGAATATCGTATTATAATTTTTTTGTCATTTAATCTTATGTTTTTTTATTAATTCTGATTTAATAACGGAAACTATCAAAGATCCTTTTAAATTTATTTTAATTTCTTTATTAAATTTAAAACAATTTATAACACTTTATTTATTTCCGTGTATCTATACACTTAGTTTATTCGGACCACCCGCTTGGCATTGGAAAGATAGATCGATCCGCTGATCAGTAGCTTTGGCGCTCTCATCTCCAACTAATAATCACCAGCGAGCTTGTGATTTTATTTTCATAAATGAATCACGATAATAAATTGTTTATGTTTCTTCGGTTCTTCATGGGAAAAAAAGATTAGCATCAGCGTTTATGTTAATGCAATGTTGAGACATCATAAAAATGAAATATTTGCAGCTTTGTTAGTTGCCAACCGAACGAATTTTGGCCAAAGCTGAATCACTTGCAAATATGTTTGCATATCCCCGAGATACTGAGATAATTTCGTGGGGCGGTTAATTTAATTTGCTTATCAATGACAAACATCCTTTGCGGTTTTCTTCGGTTTCGGTGAATTTGAAGGGCAGGCTGAAGTTCAAGTTCGCTATCGCTTGGTGGGGATTAATCGGCAGGTACAGGAAAAGGGCACTCTAAGATAATATAATAATATATATATAATAATAAAGATAATATTTAACCATCATTTGTTTGTGTATCCTTACAATATTATTTCCATAAATATAATATTTAGTGTATATCTTAAGAATAATATTTCTTAAAATATACCAAAATATTAAGAATACGAATAACGAATATTTTTTTTTAGTAAAGGTCAAATTTAAGCTAATCCTGTTTGAGTATGTTATGTTATGTTATCTTCTAAAAAATTGAAATTAAAGAAAAAAAGTTAATTTGAAAATCCTGTATCATTGATTTTATATAGATTTGATATTATTAATTTAACTCACAATTTCAATAAAACTATATCCTAATTGAAATTAAAATATTTTATTATCTTCGATTAAAGTTCGGTTTTACAACTTTTAAAGTGGAAACCTTTGCCATGGACTCAATTACTTATTGAATTTATTTGTGGTATCTAATTTAATGGCCCAACCACTCCTATTTATTTAACTGCAGAGGAACCCCTCACATATATGCAGGCCAATCAATTAAGTCCCATTGAGTATCTAATATGGAATATAACTATTCCATTATGGAGTGCGAATGTTCCCATGACCGAAAGCAATTTACACTTGCAGAGACGGTGAGAAAAGCAGATGGAGGAGGACTTCAGCAGGATGGGTGGATGGATGGATGGTCAGGATCAGGTCCACAGCTTCTCCCTTTAGAATCCAGGCCAATAAATAACTTACCCACGCTCTGCGAAATACGGGTTCCGGTTGGATTTCGTAGCAGGACTAAGGGATGATCCCTGAGCAGGAATTATTTGTTATTGGAATCACGTGACAAGTTGGCTGGCCGAAGGACGAAGGACGCAGGGGGGTGGCCACCACCGCCACTGGGAACCCGAAACAGAAATCATCCCACGGGATTCAATTTATGCGTGTTTGAATGTTTTTGATTGCGCGTTGCTAATTCAAATAAAATTCGACTGCTCCTGCAGTTTTTTCTGGTGACCAGGAAGGAGTCAAGTTGCGTGCTGGTGGTTCAGATGGATTGATGGTGGTTGAGGTGGTTCAGCTGGTGGTTCAGCCACTGCAATTTCAGCCTCATTTGCTTTTGTTTTCGTGTTTTTGTGGGCACTCACTCGCCTTTGTAATCCCAGTTGCTTGGGGGTGCATCAATTTAGCTGACAGCTTTCGCATGTTTTTCTGCTTTTTATTTTATTTCCTTTGTTTGCCCGAGGGATTCGTAATTAAACAAATTAAGTGCAACAGCCAAAGCTCTTGGGATGCGTTCCATATTTTTCTGGCAAAAAAAAAAACAAAATCGGTGTGGAAAAACGGCAGCAAATGTCGCACTAATTATTACAAATGATTTTCGATTTATATTTTATGCTAATTCGGGACGCAACAGCAGCAGCATATTCGAGCTGTCGGCATTGTATTTACATAAATTTGAGCTATGAAAATGTTTGAAATTATTGCCGCTATATGGGAATGGGCAAAGGGAATTTCCACCTGAACCGAAGCCCAGAAGTCGGTCTATAAATATAAGTCGGGGGGCCGTATAATTGATTTATGGCCAATGGATTGCCGCACGCCCAAAATCTCCAAAATGAGCCGAGGGGTCGCAGTGGCTCCTAAATTTAGACGCAGCTAAAACAACTAATTTAGCTGTATTCTGGATTCTCAGGGCAGCGTGTTCTTCAGTTTTGTCACGTTCACGGGCAAATGTTTGGCATGATCATGGGACTTCGTATCTGTATCTTCCTCCCCCCAGAAAAGAACGTGTCCGTTTGTTTGTTTTCGGGGAGTGAGCGTCTGTCGCTGGCACTGTCACAATTGACACTGATAATGCGGCAGGTACACGATCCCACCTCATTCGAAGCCATCCCCATCCATATACCATCCCATATACTGTCCCATCGGATCTTGGGGATCCGTTCCGGAGACGTGCCGTTAAGTTGTCAGTGGGTGGGACTTCGATTTCCATGTCTGCCAGCTCCAGTTCCAGTTGCACTTCCAGAGCAGAGACGCAGAGAAAGATTAATTGAACGTGCGCCGGCGAGTTATTAATCTTGTTGAGCTTAGGAGCCCGGGATGCAGTCAGAACAAATTCTAGAACAAGCTGGAAAAAGTATCCTAGAAGATCAGAACTGTTGGAAAAATAAGGAAATAAAACAGCCAAATAAATAATGCAATTATGGTAGTTACTTCATAATAAACCTTTTAAATTTTATAAACAAATTTATTTTAGTGGGAATTGGAAATTGTATAATTTTGTAATGCTAGGAAAAATAATGGTTTTTCAGACCAAAAGTATTATAATTTTTACATCCAGGGAATAATATTTGTCCACAAAAAAAGAAAACGTCGCGGTCAAATCGAGATGCGCATGGTAAATTTGTGGTATACGCATATCGTTTTTATCGTTTTATCTCTCTCTCAAAGAATCTCTGAATTTTTTAAGCGAGAAAAGGTGCCCGCATATCAAGTCAATATTAACACCACATAACATCAAATCGATCACCGTTTTATATCAAGTTTTTTTTTTGTGTAATTTGAGTTTATTCAAAATAAATAAATAAAAAAATTATAATTTTATTAAAACCCTATTTAGTTAATTATTTGAATTAAATAAGTCCAATTTTTCTCAGTGCTACCCACATTATTTTTCTCCGTGTGCCACTGGCCATTGTTTCTAAAATATTGTGTGCACTTCCCTGGCTGCGGTGTCAGCTAATGGGACCCGCCACTTGAGCCTTGATTATCCGTCCACATATATGTATTTTACGTATTTGGATATATGCAGCTGCCGCTCTCTCCGCTTTCGGTCTCCGTTTTTTATTTCGTTGGGTCCCCTAATTTGTTTATGACTCTGATAATGCAATTTTTTACTTGCAACGATCGGGGGCAGCAATAACATAAATATATTCACTGATCTGCTGGGAGCAATTACCGGGTGAGCCATATTTTGTCACTTTTTTTCTGGGCCGGGTGAAAGTTGAGGCATTTTTATGGCAGAACATAATTTGGATACTGCCAGATAGCCGAGATCGCCCAGTCAGAGAGGATCGCCGAATTGCTATTTCATGGCATTCGATATCCGTTCGATCTTAATTCGACCTGCTTATGTAGGTTGGGTTGGGTCGATCTTTCGCTTCCGAAATCGAACAATGCCCAGTCATAGAGTTCGGTCCCCACTCCCCAGAAAAATAAATAAAAAGACTGACAATATTGCGATGAGCACATGCCAGAGAACTTGCCACAAAAACTGCGTAGCTGCTCGGTGATTTCGGTTTGTGATTTCACCAGGCAACGCAACGTAGTCCTAACCCCCCCTCCAAATTCACCCAAAACAAGAAGGGAACGTAGCTCTAGAGGACCGAATTTTAAAATACCCTTACTCTTAACTTGAGTCTGTTGAAAAAAAAATAAAAAAAATAAAAAATAAAAATATTTTTATAAATTTTGCAAACCGATTTGGCATCTTGGCAACCGAAAAATATTATTTTAATTTAACCTTTCAAACGTTACAAATTGAAAGACAATTTTACGCTACCTTTTGCCAGAAATAGGGTATATAAAAAGTAACGTCTTCGTCGGGAACTCGCCACTCACAATAGACGCAAACCCCTGATCGAAAATGGCGCACTGAAAGTATACGTTATAACACCTTGAATCGCAAATCCAAAGATAGCTAGCGAAAGGAATCACCACCGAACTTGGAAACCGGCTTGGATTGGATTGTCACGGGGGAAGTTTTCGATTTCTGTGGAAGAGAACACCTGGATGCGAATCGGCGGGCTCTAAGGTGCACGGCCGGCGATAAGGAGGCGCAAGTTTCCACTATTTTGACGCACCAGTGTCTGCCACAGAAAATACCAAGGGGTGAATGATACACAGTAAAAAAATATTCACACATTTTCAACATTTAACAAATTACAATCTGTTTTTTAAATTATCAATTTAAATTATCGTTTAAATTATCAATACTTTGAATAAGTATGAAATAATGTTTTCTTTTCTTTATACTCTCACCTTAATTATTTTACAGAATAAGCTATAATAGTTTTTGTTTAATACCGTATTTATAAATACAAAATATTTGGATGTGAACTTAATCAGATAATTTTGGAATTTTTTCCTGTGTAATATTTATGAATGTGTCATGAGCAAACACATAATATCATATCAGTTCGGCTTCCTTTGGCAAATGCTTATGCAAATAAGCCAGAAACTGAACGATCCGGACGAACACTTGCGTCATCCGCAGTTCATAAACATTCAATTGGATCGGAATGGTTAGGATCGCATCGGATCGGATGGGATCGAAAATAAAAAGGGTTGTCAGAGGAAGTGCACACCTTGCTCCATTAGCATAGAATTAACCCCGCCAGCAGCGAGATTGAGATTCCCACAGTGCCGCGGACTTGTTTATTAACATGTGACAATTATGCTAAATGCATTAACCCTTACCCTTGCCCTCGCCAGTCACCCAACCCTTAGACTTGTTATGATTTTCACTTTTCCGAGACTGCAACTCGAGATACCATCCCAAACCGGATGCAATCAAGGATCAAGGGCAAGAACGCTAAGAACTCGAAGAGCTCTTAGAATATGCAAATTTTATTTGCCACCGACCGTGTAAATTACACTTGGACATGCCGCGATCCGGATAACACCTGGGCATCGGAAGGAAGAGGTTCCCGAGTTCCCGAGATCAAGAAAGGGGAAACGGGAAGTTGGGACCTCATTAATGCCGAGATGTTTCCCACAGTACTTAGCTGCTTTATATGGGGACACTTTCAGGTAACTTCCTTTGGGGGATATTATATATGCATTTTTGAACTAAAATCCAGCCAGAATTTTCTCGAGATTATTAATCTCTGTCACGAAGATCTTAAGTTATAAAAAGTAAGTTAGGGAGCATTTTATTGATCATTTTAAATATAAGATGTAGCTTCCTATATTCCGAAACTTAGTACATTTGTTTGTCTAATCACATTTTGGTTAAAATTTCTTTGAGGCTGTCTTAAGCCTTTTTAATTACTTTTCTTCTTTGGTAAAATTACTAAAATTCACGCTGCCACTCTACTAATCAGTTTTTGGATCGAAATTCTTAAAGTCTTTCCTCATTTTCTTTCTTCAATTAAATTTTAAAAAAATTCAAGCTGCCTTTGCAACTGAAAGTAAACAAGATGGGCTGGCGCCCATCGTTGCGTTCGGATAATACCACCAATACGGATCTTATGGAGGGTCCAACTCCCCGTCATTCTTTGCTGTCCGGAAGGTATAAACAGAGTTTTGCCTACTTAACACTGAGGACCCGCATGCCGGGAATAATGCAGCAGGTTATCATGAGGTTGTTGGGTGATTTACCGGAACTGGTGGAAAAATACGGGGAGGATGTGCGCAAGGATGTCAAGCTGATAGTGGATGCGATCGAACGCTTGAAGATGGAACTGAACCGGGATCGGCAATTCCTGCTCTTCCATGGCGCCGAACCGGATAAGGCCGAGTGGAATGCCTTTTTAACCGAGATGCCACGCCCAAAAAGGTACTTCTTTCGCGCCTGCTGGCTGCACTCCGAGTGCTACCTGTACCGGCGTATCTTCTCCTTCTTCGAGAACAGCCGCTTTCTGCACCACTTCGACTACTTTGATCACTTGAAGCAGGAGGATCTGATGATCAGCGATGCGGCTATGAGGGCTTTGGCCAGAGCTACTCGGAATTTGCCCAAGAGCTATGATGTCTTCAGCAAGCTATTGAGAATCAATCTGTGGGGCAATCACTTCGAAATGCAGCTGGGTGCCTTTGAGTTCGGAGAGGAGGACAACCAGAACGATCTGAATGTCCTCGTTCAGGTGGCCGACATCGATAGAATCCTCCTCGTGAATGACTCCACACTGATCTGGAACTGTCTGATGAAGCCGTCGGCCAAGGGAAACGTTAATCGCATAGTGGATTTTATATGTGATAATGGGGGGTTTGAGTTCTTCACCGATATGGTGTTGCTGGAATATATGGTGGACAATAAGCTGGCCACCCAGGTTCGGGTGCATGTCAAGGTAGGAGTTATACATAAAGTTTGATATGATAAATCGACAAAAATATCGAGCTTAATATCATATCGAAAATATTTTATATATTATATTTTATATATCGAAATTTGAAATATCAAAACATATCGTTTTATACAATGAAATTTAAAATATCGAAAACATCGTTCAAGTTAAAATATCGAAATTTCCAAGCACGAACATATCGCACTTTATCTTAAAATATCGATAGAATCAATCCTGTATGGAATTTATTTAAAACTGCTTAAACACTTCATTTTAAATAACCTATTTATTTCTATATATATTTCTTGCACCTATTTATTATACTTAATATCGATTTATCGCATATATATCGCAAATATCGATTTCTTTTTGATATATCAATATTATCTATCATTTATATGACAGGCAATTCCTTGGTATATATCCGATGCAACCCGGGCGGATGTTGACTGGACTATCGACTATCTGATTCGGAACAAGGATGAGTATCTTTCGACGGTGGGGAAGAAGTGGGCACGCCTCATGAGTTCCGAAAAGATTGTCATCGCACCCACATCATATTTTTGGACAGGACCACATTCCTATTTCGTGATGGTCGAGTCGGATCTGGAGCTCTATCGCTTGCTAACCACCTCTAGATTGGCAATTTTCAAGGGGGATCTCAACTACCGAAAGCTGATGGGCGATTATATTTGGGATTCGGCGGAGGAGTTCATCACCTGCTTGAGAGGCTTTCGACCTACTAATATCTGTGCTTTGCGCACCGTCAAATGCGAGGTGGTTTGCGGTCTACCCGAGGGCATGGCCGATACACTTCTGAGGTCCGATCACAACTGGATGATATCGGGGAACTATGGAGTTATCCAGTACACCGACTCGCTGAAATGTGGATGCGCTCTGCCGGGTCAGGATGGCGCCGATCGAGAAGATCAGGGAACGGCACTGGTGGTGCCCGAATCCCAGAGGTCGACGGTGCTGCTAACTCCCAGCTCTTAAACGAGTGCGAATTTGTCAGTCGTCGGAAATCGAATGGCCTCGTTACACCCACACGGATTGGGAACCCGAATCGGTGCTGCTGGTTTGCTGCCAGTGCTGCCAAAAATCGCCCAAGGATGCTTTAAGCCCGGCTTTCTGGCCAATTGTCGGCTGACTAATGCTGTTGGTTTTATAGATGGGGCGCACATGCGCACCCATTTGTCCCGACGACTGCCAATTTGGAAATGGAAAGTTGCCACAGTGCGATAAAATGCCTAAGGCAAGAATTCAAGGCAGCAAAAAAAAATATGAAAATTAAAGATGTGCTGATTAAATTGATTGTTTTGCAAGTTCAAATTTGTCACACGACTACTGAAGGTAAAAGTGGGACTTTGGGACTGCTTTTACATTTAAATTATATTTAAAATTATTTTTTATGTAGCTTGTTAATAAATTTGGAATAAAATGAATTTAATAAAATGTAGCTCTTAATTTAAAAACAAGAGAGAACGCTATAGTCGGGTTCGTGTCCCGACTATCTAATACCCGTCACTCAGCTAAAGGGAGTGCGAACGCTGTGTCGGGTTGGTGTCTCGACTAATAATCGTAACTCAGCTAAAGGGAGTGCGAGGGAGATAGATATATGTTGACAATTTATAAAGCGTATAACTTTTTAATGAATAGTCCGATTTGAAAAATGTCTTCTACATTTCGATAGGTATAAATATACATAACAAAATTGCATTTATACTTCTCGGAAATCTTTAAAGATGTGGGCGCAGGACCCATTTTAAAATCGTTAGTGGGCGATTGTGGGCGTTAGAGGGGGCGTGGCGCTCGGCTAAAATAAACTTGCGCTGCGTAGGAAGCCAAAGAATACGTGTGGGAAATCTCAACCTTCTAGCTTTTGTAGTTTCTGAGATCTCAGCGTTCATACAGACAGACAGACGGACAGACGGACAGACGGACAGACGGACAGACGGACAGACGGACAGACGGACAGACGGACAGACAGACAGACGGACAGACGGACATGGCTAGATCGACTCGGCTAGTGACCCTGATCAAGAATATATATACTTTATGGGTTCGGAAACGCTTCCTTCTAGCTGTTACATACTTTTGCACGAATCTAGTATACCCTTTTACTCTACGAGTAACGGGTATAATAAGTTACGCTTAATAAACTGGAAAATTCTTCAATAGAATTACTCATAATAAAAACTATACATTTAATAGGGATTTTATTACTTGATTGGACTTTCTCCTTAGTTGAGCAATAACTTCCATTGTTTGCTACATCTTTTGTTTAATAAATACTTTTACTCTTATCAATATAAATCAAAGAAATTTCCCAGGCTCATTTTTCAAAATCTTTTTCAGACCATTGCACCTCAATAAATGTTATCAATGGAAGTCCTCGATTGTTGCATTTGATCGGGTATCATGCAGAGCTTTCCCAGAAATTTAAGAACCCAACCAAAAGTAGCGACTAATTGCTAGAGTTGCTCCTTTACATTCTGCTCAACCAAATTAAATCATTTTACTTGATTGCCCCTTTCCAAGTGAGCAAACTTTGCGAAAGGCAGCGATCTAGAAGTATTATAAAGAAAATGTAAAATAAAGTGAACATTCTCACAGAAATTAAGGAGGTTGATTTTGAAAAGAGCAACATGAGGCCGCCGAATTCCGGTGCACATTTTCCGCCGTAGATCAGGTACAGTTTCCCCGAAAAAAATCACTGGCAATTAATCACCAGTATAGCAATGTTTGAGAACTCGACTGATTTATTTTCCCACCAAAAACCGAAAGCCACCCTGCCGTCGGACGGGATTTACTTTTACTGCGCAGCTGCAGGACAACATATACTTTGAGCTACTATGCAGCTTCAACAGCAACAGCCTGCTGCTGGGTGGCACATCATGAGTAGGGTGGGTTCTAGTTAGGGTTTGTCCTTGAAGGCACCCGGTGTTTGCTATTTGGTGCCTGGTTGTTTGGTGCTCGGTAAATGGCAAATGGTACCCGACACCAGGTTGCTTTCAAGCGACGCCTCTTCAGAGCCGGTGCTTTTGTCTCACTTGGCTTTCGGGGGTTGCAAAACTTTTCCCACCATTTCGACGTCCTTTGATTTTGATGATTTCCACCCCACTCGAAAACCGGGGTGAGTGGATTTGGATAGTGCGCAGGTATGCGTCAGAGGACCAGCTGCCCCGGCATGCAGATGAATCCTCCGAAGCTTTATCCACACTCAATTAGGAATACAATTTTTAGGTGAATTTACAAAATTCAGGAGTTTACGGGAGGATTCAACACTGAATTGTTTATATTAATACTTTAAAAATCGGATTTTTTGGGAGACATTTGAATTATTATTATTATTAAAATACTGTATTATTAAATATATTAAAGTACATTATAAAACTAATCTAAAAAAATGCTTATAAAATAAAAAAATAAATTAAGCTTTTCTTGGTTTCACAACGCTTTTCTTTTATTATTATATGAAGTACTTATATATTTCATTTTAATATGAAGTATAAACTCTGGAAATAAGACTTTTTTCTTTAATTAATAATATAAATTATTCCCAACAATCAAGACCAGTTTTTGTAAGGGTCATTTCAAAAATCGATTCGATGAGTCATAAACGATACAAGCCTCTACTATGTGTATTTTAGATAACTTTCTGATTTATCAATCATTTTATTTATCCTAGACGAAATTCAAACCTTTACTATACCCAGAAGTGCTGCAATGTTTGTCAGCCGATCGAGTGAGTCACGCATGCGTCCAGCTATTAAGTAATACAAACTTTCGAGCAAATTGTTTGCCAAAGTGGAAGTGCTCGATTTACGGGTCACTCAGTCTAGTTTATAGCCAAAGTGATAAGCAGGAAGTACTCCCGACGACTTTACAATACAATACCACCCGTTCAGCCATTAGCGGGAGCCACCTGAATTATGGGCAAATTAAATCGAACTCAATTCGCGGGCAATTATCTCGGGTATGGTAGGGGATTCGGGAACTTTAAGGGGGACCCCGAAAAAGCAGTTGACATAAACCTTTCGCCAGCAGCTCCTCCACCTAAAAGAGCTGACAAGTGGTTGGGTTGTGCGGCAAAAAGGTCAACATTTCGTAATCAGCTTAGTGGCTTTTGTATGCACGTAACCATAACCATGCCCCATGTCATCCTATATTTCACAGGAACCGCGAGGGGATCACAGGGGCTACAAGGGGTCTGGATACCCAGACTGTACTGTCAACCCGCCAGCGGCACAAGATTGCGGTTGCTCGCCAACTGACCAAGTGGTCTTTCGTTGCCCAAAAAGAAAAAATGGGAAAAACAGCATAAAACAGCGACTATCACCCGCTAACATTCAAATTCAAATTTGCTTAGGCCCACCGACAAAAATTAGCCGCAGACTTGGGCGCTAATCTGGTTTTAAACTGAGTTTGGGTCTCGGTCCTGTCTGCAGTCGCGATGCGGGTGTGTTCCAAAGCCACGCAGAGTTCCACGTATTTTTTTTTGGTAAGGCAGTGCTGCGAAATGGTGATTGCCAAAAAACAGCTAAATTAGGAATTAAATACTATTTTTAAAACCTTAAAACTTAAAACCAAAAAACAACAAAATTATATATCAGTAATCGATTTATAGTTAAATCAAAAAAATGTTAAGCTACCCAAATATGTTACAAAAAAATAATTTAGGTAAAATTAGCTAACTAACAAATATTATTTTAAATACCTACATAAAATAGTTTACCTTTTCTCTCATAATTTTCACTTTATATAAAAAAAATTTAATTCACAAAAAGAAAAAATGTTGTAAAATTTATTTAGGAATTAACTTTAAAAAAGTTTTAAATTGTAAAATTTATTGTTGTTTAAAATAGTTATAAGCTTCACATTTTTAAAAAATAAAATTACTATCTTCCTACTTTGAATCCTTTTAAAATAGCCATTATGGCTTAGAAAAACTAGCCAAGAAGGCAATACCGGCACGCTTGTTGGCCAGTTACTATAGGCTTTTGCCTCGCCTCATGTCCAGCAACCAGTTTACAGTCGAGGTGTGCGAGTGTGTGTGTGTGTGTGGGGCACCCGCACCTGGCCAACTGCCCAACTTACGACTTTCGGCCGAGTCCAACTGCGCAGCTGCCAGCCGATGATTCCCTTTCCCTGCCCTAACCTACCCGCCCCAGCCTGAACCATCCTATCCTCGGCATTTCCAACTCTGCCGATCGATCCTGCCCAGGGGCTGTTAGCCAAGAAAGATCCTATTTATACATCAAGTTGGGTGTTAAAATATGCAAGAACGAAGCCTAAAAAATAATAGTTCCTCTCAGTAAATTCTAAAAATAAACATACCATTTATCAAAATGCAAATTATATTTGTTAAGTTATTTTTTAATATTTATTAAAATAGTTGTTCTTGTTTCAAAATTGATTTTTTTTTTTATCCAAATATAAAATTTTTCAAATTAGTTTACTGTTTTTCAAATAAATCCAGACGAAAAACAATTTTAAATATTTTATTTTTTATTAATATACAACTCTCTTTTAATCACATATCTTAATTAACAACGCCAATCCATGCTGCCATAGTTTCACCTTGTGTTACCCATGGTAAACTTTAGCCTACGATCACCTGCAAAATAAATAAACAAAAAGCCTGCAGCAAAAGAAAAAAGCAATTGATTTTTTAGCGATCTTCACACCGGTCGTTACCCATTTGAATGCAAATAATCCAGAATTAATGTATTCATTTTACACTCGGCTATTTGCTAATTTTCTTATGGCAGCCGTTGATGAGGCAAGTGCATTACGAGTATTCCCCGGAAAATGCCACTAAAAAGAGTTTTAAGCATTAATGGTTATTGGTTAAGAGACATATAGATATGAAAATATGGGTTTATGGGGGAATAAAGTTAAGAGGGCGAAATGTGAGAAATAAAGTGAACAAAATTTGGGTTTATATGGTAAGTAAAGCAGACACTCCTCACGATCCTCAGACTTTGGACAAGAATTGGGAAATTAACACCGAGACCCGGGCGACACTTTGACTGAAGATTGATGGTCCCGTCCAGAGAAACGCCTTTCCATTTCGAATGTAAATCCAAACCGCAAACAGGTTGCCAATCGAATCGCCCGTTTGGCATTCGCATTCACAAATACAAATAGCCCAAGTGCGCTGTAATTCGTCTACTCAACGCCAGAGTCTGATTTGCTGATTAGCAACACTCTTTCCGTCATATTCTGAGACCCAATTACAACGCCACTGACAAGACAAACGGCCAAACAGTTGCGACTCCAGTCCCCCAGTCTTTTGGCCACGTGAACACCCTTATGCAAAAACAAATCAAAACAGCATAAAAAGTCGTAAATCTGCGGCGAAAACAACAAAAAACGAGCGGT